CTCCTCAGTATTTACCTAATTGAAATAAAAACTTACATTCACACAAAAACTTGTCTCACAATAGTTATAGCAGCTTTATTCATATTTCTAAAAACTGAAAACAACCCAAATATCCCTCAACTGATGAATGGGTCAACAAATTGTGGTGCACCCATGCAATGGAATATTGTGCAGCAATAAGAAAGAAGCAAACTACTGAAACACACAACATGGATGAATCTCAAATGCATTAGGATACGTTCATTATGAAAGAAGTCAGATCCAAAAGGCTAGAAACTGCATAATTCCATTTATATGATGTTCTGGAAAAGGCAAATGATAGAAACAGAAAATATATTAGCAATTGCCAGGAGCTGGATATAGGGAAAAGGACAACTGAAAGGGGACTTGAGGGAATTTTTTTGAGGTGATGGAACTGTTTTATACCCTGATGTGGCAGAGGTTACAAGACTATGTGTGTTTGTCAAAACTCAGACCTGTACTAAAAAGGATGAATATTACTGTATGTAAATTATAGCTTTACAAGGAAAAAAGAGAGAGAGTATATGGGTGAACTCTAGGATCAGACTTTCTGAGATCTGCCTCTTTTAATGTGGATCTTGGGTATATACTCAAACTCTCTAAGCATCTCTTTTCTCAACCATGAGTTGAGAATAATAATAGTATTTACATCTTGCAGTTGTTAGCTTTCCAATTGCTGTGCCATCATTAATTGTTGTTGTTGTTGTTGTTACTTAATCCTCACCTGAAGACATGTTTATTGATTTTAGAGAGAGAGGAAGGGAAAAAGAGAGAGAAACATCCATGTGAGAGAAACACTGATCAGATGCCTCCCATGCACACCCAGACCACGGATTGAAACCACAACCTAGGTATGTGTCCTGACCAGGAATCAAACCCACAGCCTTTTGGTTAATGGATGACACTCCAACCTACTGTACCACCCAGCCAGAGCTATTAATTATTATTTGATGTCCTATTATATACCTAACATTATGCCTTGTGTTAAGGATATAGAACTGCATCTATGACATGGAGGCTACAATCTAGTGAATAAACATCTTCTGAGTGGACAAATGAAAATGATTGTTTTACATTGTTTTTACGTTATTATAATGCCTTTGGATTATTACAATGATTACAAAAATTAATATGTGTTAAGAGTTTATCAAGCCAAATTTATGTTAAATTTTTTAAATATAGTTCAACTTTAGCACAAATTTTCTAAAATACAAATAGACATCTCAAGTCAAATCTAAGAAATCCTATTGGTAGTCCAGATAGTTCTAGAATTATCTCTAGAGGTAATTTTAAAACACTTGAAATTGCTGTTACTTATAGTTTATCAGATTCAGAAAGAATTTATCAGCCTACCTCATTTTTACAAATTTATTTTAGCATTTGATATTACTTTAATTTGAATAAGAGTATCAAGGAAGTATAAAAGAACATGAAAATGTTTCCTCATTTTCCAAAACTTACTATATATGGGTAAAACATTCTCTTTAAAAAGATAAAGCTGACTTTCAGTCAAGATGGTGGCATAGGCAGACATGGCTTGCCCCTTCCACAATCACATCAAAATTACAACTAAAATATAGAAAAATCATCACTCAGAACCATCAGAAATCAAGTTGAATAGAAATCAAACAACTACATAATTAAAAAATGCACATCCACCCAGATTGGTTGGAGGGGCACAGACATGGAATGGACTGGTCCCTCACCCACATGTGGAAGATAAAAATTCAGGAGCAATATCTCAGGATTAAGGAGTCCCAGCCCCATACCAGGCTCCCCAGCCCAGGATTCCAGTGCCAAGGAGAAAAGTCCCCACAACTCCTGGCTGCAAAACCCAACAGGCATTGAGTCAGTGAAAGAAATATTTAATGCCCGAAGCAGTTCCTCTTAAAGAACTCACCACAGACTCACCTACTCAGACTCACTCCCTCTGAGATCCAGCACCAGGGTAGCAGCTTGAAAGGACCAGTGGTATACAGAGAGAAACTGAGTTGTCTGACATCAAGATGAGCAGAAGCCATTGTCCCTTTTCTAAACCCTCCCCCCACAGAGCTGGCAAGCTGGCACCACATCTGAGACTCCATCAGCCTGGCTAGCACTGTTTGACCCACCTAAAAGATCCACAGAAACTCTGCCCCACCCAACTTACAGGCCCACCCAAGCTGCTTTTCCACATGAATAGCTGGTCTTAGTTCATGCTTCATAACTTTCTAAATCCTCTCAAACAAGCAAGAGCTGGCCTCAGTGAGCCCTGGGCCCAGTACTAGCATCAGCCTGCCTAGATTCACAGCTTGGCTTCACCTGGGAATCTCCAAGCTCAGCACAAGTAGCAGCAGCCATCTCAGATTGCTTTAAGCTCAGGCAGGGTGGCACGGGGCAAAACACAGGTGGGGGCTGACCTTGGCCTGCACCACCCGGGAAACCCAAGGGCCAGTGCACCCAGTGGACAGCTACAGACCCCTTCAGAGCACCACCATTCTTTCCCTGCACAACTGATCCTTCATGGAGGGTGGTAGTTGGTGGTCAGTGGTAGCAGTCCCTGCAGCTGACTGGCCTGGATAAATCCGTCCCATTGATCTGCCAACAGCAACCAAAGCTCAACTACAAAAGGAGGGTGTACTCAGCTCACATGAAGGGTATACCTTGAGTACCCAGCTTGGGTGATAGGGGAAACTGTGCCACCAGACCTTACAGAACACTTACTACATTAGGCAATATTACCAAGACATAGAGTCAAAGCAGTTCTACCTTGTACATAGAAAAAAGAAAAAAACACACACACAGAGGCTGTCAAAATGAGGAGACAAAGAAACATGGCCCAAATGAAAGAACAGATCAAAACTCCAGAAAAAGACCTAAACAAAATAGAGATAAGCAATTTATCAGATGAACTGTTCAAAACATTGGTTATAAGTATGCTTAAGGAACTTAGTGAGGACCTCAGCAGTATAAAAAAGACCAAGTCAGAAATGAAGGATACACTAATTGAAATAAAGAAAAATTGACAGGGAAACAACAGTGGAGGGAATGAAGCTGGCACTCAAATCAATGATTTGAAACATAAGGAAGCAAAAAAACAACCAATCAGAAAAAAAAAAAGAAAAAAGAATCCAAAAAAACTGAAGGTAGTATAAGCACGCTCTGGGAAAACTTCAAGAGGTCTAACATTCACATCATAGGGGTGCCAGAAGAAGAGGAGGAAGAGCAAGAAATTGGAAATCTATTTGAAAAAATATATAATGAAAGAAAACTTCCCTAACTTGGTGAAAGAAATAGACCTGCAAGTCCAAGAACAGAGAATCCCAAACAACATGAATGCAAAGAGGCCCACTCCAAGACACATCATAATTACAATGCCAAAGTTTAAAGATAAAGAGAGAATCCGAAAAGCACAAAGAGAAAAGCAGTTAGTTATCTACAGGGGAGTTCCCCAACGACTGTCAGCTGATTTCTCAAAAGAAACTTTTCAGGCTACAAGGGATTTTGGCAAGAAATATTCAAAGTCATGAAAAGCAGGGACCTAAGCCAAGATTGCTCTACCCAGCAAAGCTATCATTTAGAATTGAAGGGCAGATAAAGAGCTCCCCAGACAAGAAAAAACTAAAGGAGTTCATCATCACTAAACCATTATTATATGAAAGTTAAAGGGAATTATTGAACAAAAAGATCAAAACTATGAACAATAAAATAGCAAAAAATACAAATTTATCAACAACTGAATCTAAAAAAGAAACTAAGCAAACAAGAAAAGAAACAGAATCATAGACACAGAGAACATTTCGATGGTTGCTAGATGGCAGGGGGATGTGGCGGAGTGGGTAAAAAGGTGAGGGGATTAGGGAGTACAAATAGGTAGTTACAGAATAGCCATGGGGATGTAAGATACAATAAAGGACATGGGGTAGCCAAATAACCCACATGCATGACCCATGGACATGAACAATGGTTGGGGGGATTGCCTGAGGGAGTGGGAGGTGCTGGGTGAGGGTGGGGCAAAGGGGAAAAAATCAGGACAACTATAGTAGCATAATAATAAAATATATTTTAAAAAATGATGCAGCTAAGAGGAATCATGAAAACGGATAAAGAAATTATGAAGTATTCCAGAAATGTCTGTTCCCCCAATGAGAAGAGAATTACTTCACCTTTATATCACATAAAATATCCAGTAGCCTGTGTGAGGCCTATATGTATTACCACCACACTTCATATACACACACCCAACACCTTTCTCTGCATAGCATGCACTGCTCTGTCCTTCAACGAGGTGAAATGTCCTTACTTCAGACTTAGAGTATTAGAAGTATGAAACATTTATGCCAGAACATACTATAGCTACTTTTATAGAGTTAATTACAGTCTCAACATATTCATTTTACATTTATTGAAGGCCCATTATATGCTCAGTTCTGACAGGATAAGCTTTATGGGCAATTTGTTTTAAATATGTCCTTTCTATTCAAGGCTAAAAGAAAATCAAGCTATTCTTATTTCAAAGATTTTCTATCTACTGTCATCTCACATCACGTCTCAGTGAAATACTGTGAGAAGTGTTCTTGGAGTGTTACCAACTAAAAATTTTGCAACAAGTATGGCTTTTTGCACAGGATTTCACACTGAATAATATAGTAACATCTAGAGATTCCTAACCTAGTGAAAAAAAGAGAACAATTTAAAAGATATTTTAAAAAGCATAACATGCACAAGGGGCTTCTCAAACAGAGCCCATGGGCTCATTTTCAACTTTTCATTTGCTAGGAACTCTTGTTTTGAAATATGAATCCCACAAATGTGGACATTCCAAAATTTACACATTGAAAATATTCCTAAGGATTACATCTCTCAAGAAAAAGCCAACAGATGGAAAGGTATAAGAAGGAGAGAAATAAAAGTCATATGACAACTAAAATAAATAAAAATAAAATGAGTAGAAATTTCCTTTGGAAGAACCCAGAGAAAATTATTACTGGCTAGCTTACCTTGCTTTTTTCCATAAACATTTTCTAAAGTACCAGAGAGCTGACTCTGAAAGCCATGTTCGAGGACACTCCTCTGCTTTTCAAGGTGATGTTCTTCCTCAGCAATAGAAGAAAGCACATGTGGTGGCTTTTGGTCATCATGAGTCTGATTGGGCCACTGGGATATTATGGAACATGAGTCCTTTGCATGTTGGCTAAGTCTAGGGCTTGAACTTTGGGCAGAGTCCTGCAAATCACTGTTACAACAAGAAAAATGATCCACTTCGAGAAACAAGGAATTTGTGTCCTCTTGACTCCAATCATTGCTTTGTTCTTCATCTTCAAAGTAAGTTTCCTGAAGCTGAATATTATCTAAGTCCTGGTCTAGTTTGTCATTCAGTTTAGAGTCTTGTTTGCTTAAGTTGACCAGTGAGGCAGATAACACATCCCCAGCTTGCTGGAGAGTTTCATATACCCGGGAGATCCAGGAAGAGAGAGGCTGGAAGAAGTTCTGAGCATCCTGAGACGCCATGGCCAACACCATGGCCAGCGATCTGATGATGTCTAAAAGTCCACTTGTTCAGTTCCTTCAGTACTGTGGAGTTAATATGAACTACAGAAATTAAATTGGAGGTCTCTTAATGGCTGTGAACATTTCACTCTCAAAACTTCTCAGCTGAAACAGAGGAAAGAATTACTTATACCTGTTAAAGTTACAACCTCGGACCCATCACCAAATGCCTACAATCAATGTCAGTGAGCAATCAGGGACTAAGGGATCACCACTGAAATCTTAAGGTAGCTAAATAAAAATGACTGTGAAAGTTTAAACATAAATTATTTCAATGTGTATTCACCTCCACAGGCATGTGCAAAACTTCCATTACCAGTAATGGGCTCTATTCATGAGGACTGAGAGAAATCTATCCCCATAGCCCATACCTTACAGTGTGAAAAGAATAAATGAATCTTCATTAAAAAGCAGTTGGATATGACATTTCAAAATACAAGAAAGGTTGGATGCTTCATCTACAAACATGCAGATCCCAGAGAGCAGGCTAATAAGCATCTCTGCTTCATGACACAAAGGTTTATCCCTTCAAAGGAAATGTGTGCCTGGAATTTAAAAGGTTTTAACAAATCTTAAAGTAGGATTTTATATTTGTATGCAATTTCTAGAAATTATATCTATTCTTGAGGCACAAACAACCACTTAAAAATTGAGGATGGCAGGGAAATTATGCAGCTTACAAACCTAGCATTTGGTTGCCTTTGTCTATATTCCAATCTCACTAAGGTACCCCTCCACAATCTATGAGACTCCCGAGAGAGAGTCCTTCCCATCAGATTCACAACCTGGAGGAGGCAGCTCGAGGACATCAACAGAGCAACAGGGCACAATGAAGGCTCAAGAGCTAAAAATCTATATTTTTACACACATACATGCATATAGACATATACATATGTATATGTATATGATATATATTTATATGTGGCTCTTAACTGCTCATCAACAGCTCAAGATGAATGCCATAAATGACAGTGGAGCCCTAGTTCACTGCTTGCACTTAATTACCCCATCTCCTTTATAACAATAGCTTCCTTCTGACCGAATCTACCAGCAATCCTGTAAGTTTCAGCCCTCTTGACCTCAGACTACTGCATTTGATATGACTGCCTATGGTCTCCTAGAAGTTTCTCCTTCACTTTCATGAAAACCATGCATGCATGCATTGATTTATTCAATAAACAAATATTGATTAAATGCCTATTAAGTGCTGGGCACAATGCCAGGTATAAGGTAATCCTGAGGTCTCTGTCCCCACGGAACCCACATTCCAGTTAAAGGGAAACTGAGCTCTCTGCACTTTCCCCTATGCTGAATAATTCATGTGCCTGTCTTTCAGGCTCTTCCTTATCTCCCCAGCAGCTGCATATGTGCAACCACTCATTGTGCTCTAGTTTCTCCTCCTCCCCCATTTATATTCATCAGCTGGGAGAGTTGATCCATCCATAAGTCTCAATGAACACCTTTTTTAAAACTGTGCAATATCCATCTCCAGCCCTTAGCTCCTCCCTCTTTCCAGGCTTGTATCTCTGGTTATCTAAGTCAGTGGTTCTCAAACTTTTCTGTGTCAGTACACCAGGTGAACTAATAAATAACAGAGGCCCAGGCTGGTTGAAGGAACAGACCCTGGACCTTTGTATTTCTTTCGTTCCCCCAGGTGATCCTGACAGCACCAAAGTTTCAGAAAGGCTGATCTGAGAAGATATACACATGGGTATCTCACCAAACCCGCACATTCAGCTAATCAAAACCTAGCACATCACTTTTGCAACCTCAACTGTTCAACACCCTATACTCACAACATTCTAGTGGTTATGAATTTCTCTTGAACACTTTCCCATTCCATTCCAAGTTCTGCTAGTTTAGGGTTTGTAAAAACTCTCTTCCATTATGTTTTGTATAGTTATCACTTTTCCCTGGTTGGTTTGTCTCCAGTCTCCCCAGCCTCAATCCATCCTCTAGGTTTGCTTACCACTGACTGACCTGGTATTAAGTTCATTGACTGTCTCTTCCCCTAGAATGTAAGTTCCATGGAGCATAGGGATAGTAAATTCTCAATAAGTAAATTAACAAATCCCACTTAAAATTGTGCCTAGGCCAGTGTCTAGTGTAGAGTAGGTACTCAAGTTTGTGAAATTGATAGATAAGACCTACGCAGAATCCTTGTGGAAAACATCCTCGTGCTCCCACACAAACCCCCTGCTCGGTAACATTCAGGACTTGTTTCAGCATTTGTTCCACCCCATTTCACCACTCACAGATTTTTTGTTTGTTTTTTTCTCTGCAAATATTTTGCTTAAATTAATACACTTCAGGACATCCCAGACCTAGAACAGTCTCAGAAATCATTGCATTTAGTTTCTACCACTGTCTCGTAGGTACTTGAAACTTTAAATACAGAAATGATATATCTTCCTTAATAATTCAATAATCCTTTTTATTGTTTTATCACACAGAAAAAAAATACTTTATTTCTATAGGCAACACAAAATCTTTTAATTTAAGCCAGCATTTTCTTGTCCACTCTTTGAAGTAGGTACAGCTATGCTCTCAGTCTCATACCGCCCTCTCTTCCGTAATCTCTGTCCATCAAACAAACCCTCATGGCAATTTTTTAAAAAATAAATCTGCCCCTGGCTGGCATAGCTCAGTGGATTGAGCACGGGCTGTGAACCAAAGTATCGCAGGTTTGATTCCCAGTCAGGGCATGTGTCTGGGTTGCAGGTTCAGTCCCTGGTTGGGGAGTGTATAAGAGGCAACCAACCAATGTTTCTCTCTCACATCATTGTCTGTCTGCCTCTCTTTCTCCCCTACTCCCCCACTTAAATATATACATACATACATACATACACTAATAAATTTTAAAAAATTAATTTTAATGCCTCAAATTCACTATAGTCCTCCGCTTTCCCTGTTCCAATTCTCGCTTGCTTCACTCATTTCTGTGTAGCCTCCTACACCATGAAACATTTGAATTTTTAAATCCTACCATGTAAGTTTACATTATTTACTAAGGCAAATGAAAGGAGATGTGCTTTAAAAAAATTAATAATCAGCACAAACAAGAGGAGTGCTGCTCAGAAAATCAATGATCGGCAACACCTAACTAGCCTAAAGGCCTCTGCTGGGTGTCAGCTTTTTAACTCTGGAATCACTGGGTATGAGGAGGTCTGAGGGATGCAACAAAACCAAAAGACTGTGTATCAGTGGCTATTTATCAACTAGCTTGGAACTGTTTCTACATTTTCACAACTCTCAGAGCCCTCCCTTTGGTCCTGAGTGAATGTCCAGCTGTGCATGGGCCGTCCCTGATAATACTGCCCCACAGTGAGGGCCCAGCCGTTCCTCACCACTCATCGCTGTACAGCCACACTCAGCGTTTTCCGAGGTGACTGCTCTCCCTGGACCACCCGGCCAATCCTCGTTCTGCACAAGGAAACTCTTATGTCACCACTGTCTCTTTATCCACAATCAAGGGTGCGGCCTCAAGTGCTTTGACTGTGCCTATGTAAGGTGTCACTAGGTGTGGTAACTATTTTTCAGTCTTTCTACTCCAGTGAACTGTGAGACCGTTAGTGCTGGGACTGTGTTCATACTTAATAACTCCAGGAGTCACACAGGGTAGGAACTCAATATGCTTCTTTCTGAATGTGAGGATGAATGGTATTAATGAGAATGTTTAAATAAATAGGCCTGATTCTTTCGATTTTCTTCATTTGTAAAGTGAAATTAACTAACTAGATGACTGCAAACAGTTTCTTTCTGCTTTGAAACCCATGAATTTACCAGTGTGGGCCAGAAAATGTTGTAATATTAGGTGTGAATATATTCAGCATTAAGTAGCCTTTTCAGGGATTGAGTCTGTACTTTTGTCAATAACCACTGTCAGAGGATCTCAGAGTGACTAGAAAAAGGCCAAATCTCGGTCTATACAGGAAACAGTTTTGAGTTGTTATATTCCAAAATACTAAACAAAGGAAGGACACCTCGTGCTAGAACCTTAAAAACAATCTAGCGACACCGAAGAGCTTTCATTTCTTGCTAAAGCAGTCCAAAGCCAAAAGGGCTATGCCCTCACATGGTCACCATGGAGATATCTTTGCTGCTTAGGTAAGTTTCAATTTGATTGGTAGAGCACACCAAGCATAATACCAGATTTATACCTGGTAACCCAGTTCTTTGGCAGCCTTCTTACAGCTGAGAAGATAAAGTGGCTTCTGGTATTATAATAATAATAATTTGTTTTAAATGAGCAAAGAAAAATAGACAAGGAAAGACAGTTCAAATCCCTGATTAAAAGGAATCATATATATAAGGTTTGCGGCAGTTGAGAAGGCTCATTGTTTGAATAAAAATAGTCCATGACACCTCATTATTATGAGAAATGAAAACAAAACAACAAAAAGTATGTGTGTGTGTTCATGTGTATGTGTTTAACATATAAGCTCCTACCGCGAACATGTCCCGGGAAGGTCTACCACCTCCTGGTACTAAATAAACTAGCAATCTAATAAAGAATTAGTAACAACTGATAAATAAAGATGGGAGTAAAGCCACTGATATATTCCTAGGGGCTATATTCCATTAAATTCTGCTTTAATTGGAATTATATTTTAGTTATAAAAGTATTTAATTCAATTAATGTTATTTTAAACATAGGAAACAACTAAACAGTAAACATTAAAGAGTTGTGTTACTGTAGGGGAAAAAAACTATCAAATTCCTGAGTCATACGCTTTATCACATATTTTGATCGTCCTCACCCAGGGTGATTATAAACAGAATTGCTCCGTGCCCAGAACAATAATGCTCACGGTCCTCCGAAGGCCGTTTAGTTGGATCTTTCTGCCCCCATTTTCTAGCTGATGGCAGATGCTTGAAGGGAGGGGGAAAGCTATGGCCTAAAAAAGAAATACCAGCTTCTAGGGATTATGCCTGGGTAACCAATCCCCTAGTCAAAATCACATGCAAGTTTATCTACTAAAGTGTGATGATGTTTAGAACTTTTTTGAAGGAGAACTTACCTTGGAAAATCTACTCTTCTCATTCTCTACCAAGATCTGCAGGGCAGTCATAAGTAAAAGTCAAGAACACCAAATTTAAAGTGT